AAAATAATTAGGTTCCGGGCACATAAGGTACCGCATTGTCTGCGACCTGTTATTTTCTTTGTGTGTGACCTGTTATTTCTCTCTAGAAGTGTTAATGGTGGTTTTTTAAATCCCCAGTTTGGTAGGATTCTCTGTTTTTTTGCTTTGGGATGGGTCTTCTTGGTTTAGTGGGGTAGAACATTCAGGATCCCTTTAATATGGAGGCTCAGCTCTCTCTCATTTTTTTAATTTCTCTTTCCAGAAATGTCATTAGTTGGATGTTGTATTGATCCTATAGTTTATCTCATCTTTGTATTTTACTTTCTGGAAGAATTCCTCAATTTTCTCTTCCACTATTTTATTCTTGAATTTTAAAATTTTACCTATAACTTTTTTATTTCTAGGCTCTTTATAGTCTTAAATTGTTCCTTTTAAGAGCATTTTCACAATATTCCACTCTGGTTTTGTGGACGCCATATGTTCCCTCATCCCTCAGAGGATGTTAATTATAGATTTTGTTGTTTGTTCCTCAGCTTTCATTGTTTCCTCATATTACCTGTGCCACCTGACTTCCCCTCAATGCCTGGTGATTCTTCGTTGTCAGTTTATATTTAAGAGCGAGGTGCTAGCTCCTCGTGTGGGAGCTCTGGGCGTGGGGGTGGGGGTGGGGTGGGGGACCACAGGGGATGCTGCAGGGACGAGCTTCTGTGACAGGAGACCCCCAGAGTCTGCGTGTGACGGTCTACTCGCTGGCACTCCTTGGTTTCCCGGGGGATGAATCCTTCATTATCCAGAGTGGAGGGGGTACCACCGCCTGCCGAGGTGAGCCTGGTGGTGGCAGGGGAGGGGACCCGCCGTTCGGCGTGCATTGTTAACCCCCCTGTTTCCGCTCTGGAGTCTCACTCCCTCCTCACCTCCTTCCTCATCCGCCTGGCTGTGTTTTGGAGTCCTGCATCTTACTGGATTCATTTCTGCAGCAAGTGCATCCGAAATGAGGGTAGGGATCTGGGAGTTTAACAACCACTTTGTTTACTGACCTATTTCATCCCTAAACGCACACCCGGCACCTTCGCGCCCTCCCCCCTCATCCCCACTGCTGCCTGGTGGCTCCAGGCGCTGGAGCTTTGTGAGGTCCCCTCAGACCCTTAGATGCCAACCCCTCCACCCTGCCCAGTCCGTTCCTTCCACTTTCCACCCCGCAAACTGTGGTTGGCATCTCCCTAGCGTTGTGCTCCTCTCTTGCTTCTCGTTTTAGCGGGTTCGTACTTTCTCCACTTGGTTGTCGCTTTAGCAGAGGAGAGAGAGAGACCCATGTGTTCAACCTAGACCTCCTCAGAGGCAGCGCCTATACCCAGGCAGCTGCTAGAACGAGACAGGGGTGGGGGTGTTAATCAGTGTGAGTGTGTGTGTGCGTGTAAGAGAAAGTGTGTATGTGTGCATGTGGATATGCAGAGGTGGGTGCGTGTATCTGTGTTTGTGAGAATATGTGTCTCTGTGTGTGAACGTGTTTGTGTGTGTGAGTATCCGTGCATGTGTAAGACTCTATAACAGACACTGTGGACGCACTACAGTCAGCGGCATCATTGATGATACTCTAGTCATTTGGGGAACAAGGCAGGGCACACACAAGGGAACCAAAAAGAAAAGTGGCCTGATTGTTGAAAGATGTAAGTGCCAGACAGTAAATCTGGGAAATTCCATTAAAAAAAAAATTCTTCCCTTACTTGGGTCACTGACAGGGTCTGTGGCTTTTCACACTTTGCTCCTGACCGAATGGCTAATTTGTTCAGTCATTCCTTCGACAAACCCTGGGCCCATATGTACCAGGCACTCCGCCTAGTGCAGAGGATAAAAGGCGATCCGCGTAGGCGTCCTTGTGCGTAGGAGGGGCCAGTAAATGCTGATCGCACAAGTATGTCATTTGTGTTGGAAGACCTACCCCCCGAGATGGGGAGGGCACCCCAGAGGACCCGAGGTGAGAGCTGAGTTCTGATGGGACAGTTCAGGGTTTTTCGAATTCCGGTGTGGCATGACATCACTTTCATTGTTTGGATCGATGTTTGTCCCCATTTTTAGTTTGGATCTATTAGCGCCAGCTTTGTGGGCGAGCGCTTGGTGAGCACTGTGGCAGGCGCCTCGCACGCTCAGCTCACGGGCTCCTCTAACCCCTCAGTGCGCGGGAGGGGCCGCGCTTCCCTACAGACACACACGCACTTCCCATCTCAGGAGTCAGAGACTGGCCGCCGAGGTCACGGGGTCAGTTTAGATGTGAACTTTTGCAGAGGTGCCCCATGCCGATACCTGCCTCCCCCATAGCTTACCTTGTAGGTCGTTAGCTCACCTTAGCTCCTCTAACTTGGGACAGGAAGAATTTAGGGTTAGTAAGCACCTTTATGTGACTGGATTGGAAAGAAGTTTCTTGGTAGGTTGGATCGCTGCAGGGGAGGCAAGGCTGGGAGTGCCCAGCCTCCTGACACCGAGGCCCCTTCCCGACTGCTCCCCGCGAGACAGGCCCAGGCCCTCTCACTCCGGCCCCTGCTCATGGAACCGTGGCCCCTGCGTGGGTCCAGCTCAGGCGGCCCAGGCTTCAGGTGTCTCTGCCTTCTGCCCAGACCCCTCCCACACAGAGACATACTCTCCCTCCCTCCCTCCTTCTCACCCCTCCTTCCTTGCCTTCCCTTGGCTGGGCCTGGGGGGCATCACACGTTTTACTCGAGCGCAGATGAGTTGTGGACTCAGAGCAAGGCTGGACCTCTGGCTTGGGTGTCCATGTACAGTGCTCCTCAGCTCGGGGCGGAGATGGCCACCCCCCGGGAGGGAGAAGGGGCCTCGGAGGGAGGGCCGGCCGCTGCCCGCAACGGACCTACACCGGCCTCCTTAACATGCCAAGGTGTCTTCTCACCCAGGAAAAGAAGAGAAAAATTCTAGCAGTGGTGCGAGGCGGGAATCATCATTTTCCAACCCTGGAAGCAATCGCCTTGATGTAGGGTGCATACCACCCTCCGTGGACTCGCCACATGCGCGGGAGAACCTGCCTCCCGTGGGAGGGTAGGCACAGCTTTCTCTCCTCTGAGGTCCCGGCCTGTGATTCTGCACATCGAGTGTTCCATAGACTTTTTAAAAAATGTATTAAAAGTAATGTATTTGTTATAGAGAAGCCACATAGGTGTCCTTATTTTCCTTATTTCTTTGTTCCTCTACATTTTTTATTTTCACATTTTAGTGGTTCTGAAATTGGGATGCACCTTAAAAGAGGTCTGTACATTTCGATATGATACTATTTCTTTTTTTCCTAAAGCGGTGTTTATTAAATCCAGGGGTAATTCCCAAATGACTACATCCTAGAATTGAGGAAGTACAATAAAAGTAGAGTTTGGGAAGCAAAATATCTTTTAAAACAGAGGACCCAAGGGAGAAAAGAAATGAAAGGGACCCTTGGTGGTGGAGAGTTGGGGTCGCTGCCTCGAATGTCGTGTTTTTCAAGAAACTTTATGCGTGACCATTATGGGAAAAAGGGCTGATGAGGCCTCGCCCTGTGCCATCACGTTTTTTTTTCTGTGGGGACGACATACTTGGAGCAACCAGTTCCTCAAATTATCTCCATGCCATTCCTCCTTCATATTTCAGGTCAAACATATTTGCATATTTAGCAGAAGGACCTTTTTTCTCCCTTTGTAGCATTTGCTAATTTACAGTTGCTGGGTTTGGGACAAGAAAAGCATTTTTCTCTTACCTCATGGCCTGTGGGCTTCTCTGAGGCGGCCTCAGAGAACGTGGCCGTGGGGGCCTGGGAATGTCCCGGCGGAGCCGCCCTGCCCCCGCGTGCCCCAGCCTGTGTATGTGACAGGGGCCACCGGCGTGCTCTGTGAGCATGCTCACGGGATGGGGCTGGCTCGGGCAGTTTTGGGGGGGTAAAGAATGGAGAGGCTTTCAGCAGTTTGTCAGCATGGCAGGGAGGTGGTCGGATCCAGGACTGTATCCCGGAATCTGCTTCTCACAGGGCAAGCAGGGAGACTCCAGGTGCATCCCACAGGGGACGGGCTCCCTGAGCCTTCCCAGTGGCCCCCTCGGGTGCCTGCTGCGGTGCTGGGGGCTGATGAATCCTCCGGCGAGATGCTGGGGACGCTGTCATGTTAGGTGGCTGGAGCGACAGCAGACCGAGCCCTGACAGTCCCCCCAGAGAGCAGTGTGGAAGAATCGGCAGGGGCACTGCCTCATCCAGCCTTGTCCGCTGTCCGCTTCCCGTCTCGTCGTAATCTCTTTCCCACAACCGTGGGCCCTCACACCAATCCCCCGCCCCGCAGTCCAGCACACAGACCCTGTAAGGCCCAAGTCAAGGCTGTCTTCATCCTTGAACTCTCCTTAGAGGGAAGTGTCTACATCTGGACATGAGAAATTGGCTTCCTAGTGAGACTGTACACTAGGAACTGGATCGTCCTTATTTTTCAATGATGATACAGTTTCTGACCTTGAATACCCCTCGCAGAGCTTGTGCCAAGAAGACATGGTGAGGAGCGAATTTTCCTGACACCTGCCCCCGGTCCCCAGTAGACCCCCACGGACGGGCGTACCCTGGCTGGCCCGGGGTCCTGCGGCAGGGGGCCCAGTCAGTCTCCCCCGGGCGGCGCCCCTCTCAGGTGGCATTTCACACCCCGTTGGACTTTTTCCTGCCCCCCTCCCATCCCCCGAGTAAGTGGTAATGAGCAACTTAATGTGCTGACTTCTCCAATCCCTCCTTGGTCCATTACAACAAAAGTTGCTCTTTTCTCATTAGAACCATTTTTGTCAGGGTGTCTTTAATCAAGGGCTTCCCCGGGGACCATATTTTTAGAAGTTGTATTTTTCACACTCTCCCTTTTCCCCTTTTGGAAAATCTCTTCCCCGGGCCTAGTGAAATGAACTAATGAGATGCCATGAGAGTTCGGGCCGGTGTTAATTGGCACAGGTAGGAAGAAGCCCTCGCACACGCCTTCGGTTCCATCCTGCCTTACCTGCGGTCCTTCTCTGTCTCTCTGGTGTAGGTTGCGCAGACGGCAGATGGTGTGGATGCTGACCTCTGGAAAGACGGCTTATTTAAATCCAAGGTTACCAGATACCTGTGTTTCACAAGATCCTTTTCCAAAGAAAATGTAAGTCCAGTAGTGCTTTTCCTTTTGCTGAGCGAGCACAAGCCACCTGCATTCCTGTTTGAAATGTCCTCATGTTTTTGTTGTGGTTTATTTTCATTGCCATGTTAATTTATCTGTGGTTTTAGTGAACTGGGTAGAATCAGCAGCTAGTGCTGTGCTTCATTTATTAACAGTATTATTAACCCTGTACCCAGGTGTACCGTGAATTCCATTAAAATGCGTTCTCGGAAGGAAACTAGGAAATTTCTCTCACAGCTCTTGTTTGCCCACCTTGCCTCCAAGTAACAAATCACGGGGAGTGTGGACGTGAGAACTTTCCAGTGAAGCTAGATTTAAAGCCGACCCACAAATGGAGGCAGAGCCAGAAAGGTGCTACACGGTCGCCCTCTCCACAGACCCAGCCCTGTTTCCAAATGACTCTTTCTCCCTGAGTCTCTGTGACAGAGAGTCTCGCTGTTTCTGCGGGTAGTCATCCACCAAATGGAGATTTCTGTTAGTGTGCTGTTTTTCATCCTCGGCCCATAAATCAGGAAATTTTTGAAGATATCTACGCAAGCTTTTCCAATAGTGTTTGAATGGGTGGCTTGACAAAAGGGGAAATAGCGTCCCTGAATGTCCGCTTTGTGCGGGGCCTGCGCCAGCCGCCTGGCACGTGTGCCCCTCCCGCCCCGGGACAGTCTCCTGAGGAATGAGCGCCCTTCCTGACATCAGGGCGTCTTGGGGCTTCTCCGTGTCAGCTGCCCTTCCTAGCCCCCAATAGGGAGCAGTCAGACTTTCATTTTCAGGGGTGTCATTTTGGGGGGGGGGGTCCTAAATGTTACCGTCTCTTTCTGATGCAGTTTTTTTGAAACATTTTTATTAATCTATTTTTATAAATTTTATTATAACAGTAATATGTGTACATGGTTTAAAATTAAAAAAAAAAAAACCCAACAACTTTAAACATCTTCATTCAGAAGCTTGAAAGGGAAAAGAAATGGCCTTTCCATCACCATCCCCCCACCACGGCCCCTTGGTCCTGTCACGGGGTCCTCGCCTGTCCCTTCTGTGTTTGCTGGATGTAGACAGTCACACAGTTCTCTGCTGTCACTCTCTCCCACCTGCCACTCCTGTGCGTATCGGTAAGTCTTTTGTAGGAAAATTATTTATATCATATTCAGGACTGGGGGAGAAGTCAGCGCTTTAATTTCCCCTCTCATTACGAGAGTAACGCGTGCTCGTCGTAAAGCGCAGGGTTTCTCGTAGGGTGGGGGCAGTCCTGGGGCGAAGCACGGGAAACCTCTTTCATCCTATGGACAGGCCGGAAGGCGGCAGCCGCGCCTGTGATGAGGCTGAGCGGGTCCCTGGGGCCCTTTGGGCAGCCTGAGCAGCCACCGGCGGCAGGTCTGGAGGTCGGGCTGCCCTCACAGACACGGGGCTCTTGAGTTGGGGTAGCCCCCCATCGCCCCACCTTCCCTCCCGTGTCCACGCTCACACAGCGCACTCCCTGGGCCTTGGTCCCGGGCGTTTACCTGAACCCTTTTTTGGAACTACTTATGTTTTTAGCTTCTGTCCCCTCTGTGCAGGTCAGTGCATCCGCTGCTGCTTGGGGCTGTGTGGACAAGCTCCCAGGGCTTGGCGGCCCGTGTGCACGAGCTCGCCCTGCACCACGGTTTTGTGGCGGCGGCACCGACCTCTGCTCAGGCTCTGCCCGTCCTGGCTGAGGCGGCTTCAGCCCGAAGCTGTGGCCTCCCAGGACAGCCGTGATCTCTCTGGTCATGTTTGATTTCTGTTTTTGTTGCATTTCCCCCGAAGGCTGTGGGTTATTGGTACTCTAGGCCAGAAGAGTCCCCAATTGCTCGGTGTTGGAGACAGTGACAAGTCTAAAAAATGACAGAGGAGTCATTGGAGCTTGTTAATTGTGGGTGTCCTAGGTAAACATATTATAGAAAATGCATCGATTTAGTCAACATCTGTTGAACCCTAGAGAGACGCTCGTTGCGCACCTCCTTTGTGTGTCGTCCTCCACGAGGACCGGGTGGCAGCGGCTGTGGCCAGGGCTGTAACATGGGGACTGGGGCAGCGTGAGAAACTGCTGCCTCTCTTTCGAAGCAATATAGGAAATAGGTGCATTTTGTTTTCAGAGAAAGGTTGAATGTGTCCTGTAGCGACATCCAAAGGGATCCATTGCAGGGGGCGGCGGGCCCGCTTGCTGGGCCAGGAGCGGCGGGCAGGAATGAGGCATATTTTAATCTGTCGCAGCCGGTCTGTGCTGGCCCTGCTGTCAGAGCCAAGACTTTGCATAGCATAATTTTTTACAGCTGCAAAGGAGGGATGTGGGATCTCAAGACTGGACAGATTCTTAATTAGGTGACTTGAGACTCCCAATGTAGGAGTTTTGGGAGACTCCTTTGGAACCTAAATTTCTTTCTCCCAATAATGCTATTAATACAGAAACCTGGCTTTGGAGTGACATTGCTTCCTGGGGAAGGATCGAGATTAATTGCGCTTTTCACGCCCTGTACTTTCTGCATTACCTGTAATAATAATGTACATAGATTAGGTAGGGAGGGTATTAAACAGAAGGATTTATGAACATTTGAATATTAAGTTGGTTATCTGTGGCTACCTTAAATGCAAGGTTGTCAAAAATAATTACAGTATACTAGCAAATACTGGCTACCAGAGGCAATATAAATACCCTGAGTCAGTGCATATTGGGCTTTTGGCATGAATCATTTGCTCAACAAGGATTGGGAATACGTTCTTCATATTTATGAGGAGGAAATGAAAGGAAGCACGGGATGGGGGAGGGGAGAGGAACACGCAAAATTAATGGTGTCGCAGACCTAGTGTATTAAACCCAGTACAGCGCAGCCCCGTGCGCGGAGGGACCCCACTCAGACTGCGGGAAGCGCTGGCAGAGCAGCCTCCCATTTTGTATGCATGGGAGGGTTTTTTGATGCTTTTTTTTTTTAAATGGCCACAGCACTGACGTTCTGGTTTTATGATCAGGGACATTCGTAGAGTGTGAGGGTGAGGTCGTGCTAAGTGGTTTGCAGTTGACTTCTGTAAAGCCCAACTTGTCAAGCAGAAGACACTTGAGAAGGATATTGATGAATGCCCATCCATCTCCGGGGCAGGGAAACATACCCAGTTGTTAATTTCTCAATGCAGAACGCAGCGATGACATGGAGACGCAACTGCCATGAAAAAAATTATGATAGATTAGAGGAGGCGACTCTGGAAGCAGCTGATGGCTGCGAGTCAGGTTCACGGTTCAAACCCTGCCTATGCGCCCATAGGGTCCACCTTCCACTTGCTGTGCCGCACTGTGCGCCATTTTCCCGGGGCCCGGCCACCAGAGGTGGACTAATGGGAAGTGGCTGGCAAGCAGAGTCCTGTGAGAGAGAAACGGTTTTGTGACAATAGGGCCACAAAAACACCAGCCGTAGCTTACACTTGGCACATCGACCTTCAGTTAAATTTTGAAGACTTGACTTCATTTCTGTGCTTTTGTATTATGTATTTATTAATTTATAGTGTATTTATTAAACATACTTTTAATGTTTTTATTGACACAGTTTAAGTTTTAATGTATTTATTAAACATACTTTTAATGTTTTTATTGACACAGTTTAAGTTTGTCATCCCAGCAAATCCAGCCTGATTTCTGACTTTGAGCAGTCCACCCAATTGAAAATGTACCAAAAAAACATTAATTTATTCAGCAAATAATGACTGAGCACCAGCTGTGTGCCGAGAACTGTGCTAGGCTTGGATTTACAGTGGTGACAGATAGTTTTCATCCTCGTGGGTTTTTTTTTTTAATTTAATCTTTATTGTACGTTTTTCCATTACCATTTAGTCCCCCAAAGTCCTTGTGGTTCTTAAACTCTAGAGGGGAGACAGATGTTAAATAACCTCACAAATGTGCCATCATAAATTGATATGAAGGAAAATGGACAGTGCCAAGAGAATAGAGTGGAGGGTTTAGATGGTTAGAACTCCCTGATTGGCCTTCAGAGAGTGTTGGTTGGCACTGGGCAGGGGGCAGGGAGGCTGGCCGCCTGCGCACAGATACGGAGGTGTGAGCCCTTCCCTGGGCAAGATGGAAACGAGGCCAGAGGTGTTGCTGCGGAGGCCAGAGTGATGGGCTGGCCTCCTGGGCGCTTATCCAGACGCAGAACAAGGAAGCTAAGAGCGTGCTATGCGGGGCTTCAGGGAAGTGGGCATGCTGATGGCATTGCTAGTATCCTAACAGGAGAGATTCGGGATCAGAAGCCATAAGTCTTTCCTTAACTGGATCTAACTGGAGAAGGGGGAAGTAAGCTGCAAATTACTCCGAAGATTTTAATGAGATCTCCGGGGTGGCCCCGCATATTTAAGTTGTGGGGTAGAAATCTTTAGAGCTCGTTTCCAGCCTGAAATGAGGGCCACAAGTGCCGGCGCATTTGTAGAGAACTCTCTCGCAGCTACAGAAGGCTGCGTGCCGTCTTCGGAAGATATTTTTGCTCTGGTTACGGAAACTGCGCACTGTGGGCCCCATACACCACCACTAAATAGAAACTTTAAGAGGCCCTGGTGCATGTCATTTTAGAAGATGTGTAATACTGAGGCTACAGGGCTTTCTGCTCTATATTTTATGATTCTTGGGATTTTATGGAATGTATCTAGCAACCGAGATGCGTGTTGATATGCAGACTGGCGATCATTTAGGAGTGTGATTGGTTCTCAGTTTGGTTCAGATGCAGCTCTCTCCCTGACAACTGCCCCGGGAATTTGCTTTCTAAAACCCGCTGGGCCTGAGAGCTGAGGCACCAGGCTGAGGGGTGGCCTGGTTTCGGGGGGCACGTGCCCAGGTGCCCTCTGCTGGGTTATGTAGCAAGCGTCCCCTGGCTTGCTCATCCATTAAGGCCATGTCTAAGGGGGTGGCTTTGAAGTTCCACAGATGAAACCACTTCCTGGGGGCCACTGAGTCCCTGTGTAACCACTGGGGAACATTAAGTGCCACCTACTCTAATTAACCTGTTCTTGTAAAGCTGCAAGAGTCATTGTGTTAAATATGCATCTTGAAGCCAAGATGGCAAGCCCACCACAGGTGTGTTCAGATTAATAGTCTGTATCTCTTTTTTTTCTCCCCAAGAGTCATTTAGGGAACGTGTTAGTGGATATGAAGCTCATTGACATCAAGGACACCCTGCCTGTAGGCTTCATCCCAATTCAGGAGACGGTGGACACACGTGAGTCATCCTTTAGTATCACTCATCACAATGAGAGTTTCCTTCCTCCAGGTATAGCTTTAGATTTTTTTGATGCGCATTTTTCTTTGGAAACATTGTAGGGGTCCTCATTGCATGCCCGTGAATAAACCCTGCAGCTCTTGACTCGTGTCTGACTTGGTTCTCCGAGTCTGTAGCACTCTGGTTGGTGCCGTGTTGAGTGAGCGAGAGGTCCTTTCCCCCCAGAATGGGGCTCCCTGCTGAGTCCGTCACTCAGAAGTGGGGGGAGAAACTGGTGGTAGTTCTCCCTTAGGTGCATCCTCTGTGCTGCTGAAGCCAAGCTTGGCACAAGACCCAGAAGCAAAAGGGAGAAAATCAGAAAACGCCCAGGGAATACAAGTGCAATAAGGTCCCTATTTTTGGCTCTTAGAGCTATCTGGAAGGCCAGAACCAGAGAGCCTGCAGTTAGAGTACCCAGGATTCAGCCTGAGCCCTGAATGGAACCGAGCAGAAGAGAGCCTTCGAAAGATCGGGAACTTCTTCAGGGTCCTCTCACACACATCAGTTATTAAATAGTGCGGGCAAACATCTGAGCATTTGAACCTCCTCATTTTGATGTAAAAGCATTTGTTTTATTTTTAATTACTCTCACCAGCTAACTCTAGGATGCACACACACAATGAAACAGTAAATAAAAACACACACACAGTCTCCTTTCTTTATGACACACGATTCCCTCGCGAAGTTCTGTTTCATTTTGTGTCATACATACTTGATTTTTCCATAATTAGCCCATTTTGGACCCACTATTTTTGCTGGGGTGTTGGTTTTTTTTTGGTTTTTTTTGGCCAGCATTTCATGTAGACCAGACTTTTCATATCTGCATAGACCCCGCATAGCTCTTATTGTAAGGAAGCAAGTGGATTCCATTGCATAGCATGTTTTTATTATTTTTAAATAATCTCATTTTGGACATTTTGCTTTCACTTGTTATTATATGCATTAGCTAATAATTACAACAGCTCATATTTAGTAAGCTCATATTTATCAACTCCTGTGATAAATGCTTTACATAACTGGTATCATTGAATCTTCAGAAGACCCTCTAGCTGGAAGTGGATATTATTAAACCCATTCCATATATGCAATAAATGAGGCACAGTCACTACTTAGGGATTAAAGAATTTATCCAACTAGAATACACACACACCCCCCCCGCCCACACACACCCCCCTACACGTGACACCAGCACACTTTTAACCAGTGTCACTCTGTAAAAGCATGTGTTTAAGCCCCTTTTACAGGAAGATTTTATGTACTTATGTATCAGGGGTTTTTGATAACAGCTTTATTGGATATAATCCACATACCATACAATTTACCCATTTAAAGTATGCAAATTAGAGGTTTTTAGTATATTCACAGTTTCGCAACCATTACCACAATCCATTTTAGAACAATTCATCCCCTCTCCCCCCACAAATCCCCGTGCCCATTTACAGTCACTCTCCATTCCTCCCCAGCCCCCTGCCAGCCCTGGGCAGCCAATCACCAGTCCACTTTGTATGGAGGTTTTCCTATTCAGGACATGTCACTAAACAGACTTGTGCAATCTGTGCTCTTTCATGACCGGCTTCTTTTACTTATATTTTCAAGGTTCATCCATTTGACAGCGTGTGTCAGTACTTCATTCCTTTTTATTGTCAAATGATATGCCATTTATATGAATATACTGCATTTTGTGTGTGCAGTTGATGGATATTTGGATGGTTTCCACTTTGGGCTGTTTTGAAGAATGCTGTTACGCACATTTATGTACAAGGTTTTGTGTGGACGTGTGTTTTCATTGCTCCTCAGTACCTACCTAGGCATGGAATTTTGGGGTCGTATTCTCTATATTTAACTGTTGAGGAAGTGCCAAACTGTTTCTCAAAGGAGCAGCACGTCTTACATTTTCACCAGCAGTGTATGAGGGTTCCCGTTTCTTCACATCCTCACCAACACATGTTACTGTCGTTCTTTCTAATTCCAGTCATCTTAGTGGGTATGAAGTGGTTTCTCGTCATGGTTTTGACTTGGGTTTCCTGTTAGCTAATGATGTTGAACAGCTTTTCATATGTTTGTTGGCCATTTGTGTATCTTCTATGGAGAAATGTCTCTTTTGCTCCTTTGCCATTTTAAATTGGGTTGTCTTTGTATTATTGAGTTATAAGATTATTGTAATGTACAGTTGGCCCTTGAACATGGGTTTGGACTGTGTGGGTCCAGTTATATGCAGATTTTTTCCAATAAATACTGTAACTATATTTTCTCTTCTTGATGATTTTCTTAACATTTTCATTTCTCTATCTTCCATTGATCTTATGTCTTTACTTACGGCAGTCTTGACTACTGTAGCTTTGTAGCAGGTTTTGAAACCTGTCCTCCAATTTTCTAAGAAGATTTGGCCATTCTGGCTCCCTTGAATTTTCATATAAATTTTAGGACTTGTCAATTTCTGCAAGTGTATATATATTATACACTTTATTGTAAAAATACAATGTGTACTACATATAACATACAAACTATGTGTTAATTGACACTTTATGTTATTGACAAGGCTTCCAGCCAACAATAGGCTAATAGTAGTTAAGTTTGGGGGGAGTCAAAAGTTTTACCTGGATTTTTGGCCATGTAGGAGGTTGATGCCCCTAACTTTTGCATGTTTTAGGGGTTAAATGTATTCTAGATGTAAGTACTTTATCATTTATATGATTTGCAATATTTTCTCCCATTTAGGGGGTTTTCATTTCACTTTGGTGTCCTTTGAAAAGTTTTCTTTTTTTTTTTTAAATTTGAAGGAGCCCATTTATCTATTTTTTCCTCTTTTGCTTATGTTTTCTGGTGATACTGCCTAATCCATGGTCACCAAGATTTATGTCTGTGTTTTATTCTAAGAGATTTATAGTGTCATCTGTTACATTTATGTCTTTAATCCATTTTGAGTTTATTTTGGTGAATGGTATGAGATAGGGGTCCACCTTTATTCTTTTGTATATGACTAGCCAGTTGAATAACCATTCTTCCCCCAACTGACTTGTCACAGCATCCTTTTTGAAAATCAGGTGACCATAAATGTGAGTTTGTTTTTGGACTCTTGAATTTTCTCTTTCATTGATCTTATGTCTTTCCTTAGGCCAGTCTTGACTACTTTAGCTTTGTAGCAAGTTTTGAAACCAGCCCTCCAACTTTTCAAGATGATATGGCCATTCTGGATCCCTTGACTTCTCATATAAATTTTAGGACTTGTCAATTTCTGCAAAGAGACCAGCTGGGATTTTGATAGGAATGTTGTTAAATCTGTAGGTCAACTTGGGTACGTATAGATTTTGAAAGATTTCCTTGTGATAGGTTTCCAAGTACTTGAGGCTGCTGGGTCCTGGGTCCTCTGTGGTCTGCCGCCAGCCTTCCTCTGCAAACGTGTTCCTCATCTGCCAACGCCCTATCTTTGACCCAGACGGAGCCACTAACTTGCGCCCTCCGTGCTCTTTCCTCTTCGGGCTATGTATCTGCTTCGTTATTTTCCCTGCCTGACATGCCCTTGCCCTCAACTCTGAATGTCCACACCTGTCTCTGTCAAGGGTGAGCCTGAGTTCTCCCACCTGCATCAGACGGTCTCTGGTGTGAAGCTAGCTCTCTCTCCCCTCCACAGTGAACTGAGAGTGACGAGTGCCTAGTGGGCACCGCAGGCTTTGCAATGTAAAGGTGACTACAATATTGGCCCTTTCCCTGAGGACTTTAGTCTAGTGGGTGACCTGGACCTGAACCCAGGTAACTGCATTTCAGCACAGTCATCGCACCTGGCACGGCACACGTTTATTGAAGGGACAGGGGGAAGGAAGCATGTGCAGGTGACAGTGGTGGGAAGCCAAAGGGAGTGATCGATTCTGCCCCTGGAGTCCCAGCTTTACCCCCATGAGGTCAGGGTGCAGCTTGACATGGTGGAGAACTTGGGCTCTGGAGTCAGACTTGCCTAATAGTGAGTCTGGCTCTGTACTTACAGCTGTAGGACTTCACCCTCCTGGGCTTCAGTTTCCACATCTGTAAAATGGGGAGAATATTGTTGAACTCGTAATAATGTTCATAGCTTGCATTTTGGCCATTTATATGTTTTCTTCATGTCTTTGCTACCTCTTTCTTTGAGGGCAAGATCCTTGTTTAATTCATCCTTGACTCACCTAAGGTACACATCATGCACAACGCCTTGCTCAGAGGATGGGCTCCATAAAGATAAGCTTTATTACTCTCTGTTGCCAAATTAACATCCAGAAATGCCAGTTCACAGTGCCACTCATGATGCAGGCTTGTACCTCTTTTCCACAGACCTACCAGCATCGGTTTTACATTTTTTATTTAGTGTTGCTCTCCTAATTTTATTTAATTTTCACTTTGTTATTTATTACTAAGACTGGACATTTCACTGCTTGCTGCTTCCAGAAATACCACTGCTTATTCTTAAATGGCTCATCTGCTTGAGAACTAAAATTGCCTGTAGATTTGTATTAATTTTCCACTTTCCCACCATGTTCTTCTTAGTTTTAAAATATGCATTGGTGTTCATTTTTGACAACTAATTGACTTATAATAATCTTTCTATTGATACACTGTAGAGGCACAAGGGATTCCCCATCCTGCAGCTTCCTCTCGTTGAACCCGTTAAGCGAGGAAGCCTGGGGCAGACTCCTGTCTGGGCCGTGATCTCGCTGCTGCGGGGTGATTCCGTGTAGTGATCAGGGCGGGCGGCCTTTCCCCACGACGGGGGACACGGGCTGCTGTGCCGTGGACTTTCAGAGGTTGTCCTGGCAGCTCCAGCAGGTGTCTCCTCACACAAGGAGGGTGGTTTTAGGGTGGCCTCTTCATTTTGCCGTTTCATACGGTCATTTCCTGGAGCCTTTACCCAGGGGACAGGTGAGCCTAAGCTGACCACGTGAACCTCTGGTCCACTCTGTGCAGCTGAACGCCCATCAGACCCTGATTTTACAAAGTCAGCCAAAAAGATGAGACTCACGTAATTAATTTAAAATACAGTTTGTTGCAATCCATATAGTACTTAAAAACTGGAAGACTGTTTGTTTTAGTCAAGTGCTGTGTCCTCTCTCTGTGTTCATTAGCATGACTGAACACATTTCTATTGACTCTGTGTAATATGTTTACTTAAAATTAGGCCTGTTTAAGCATGTGCAATTAGAGGCTCCATCTCTTACCCCGAGTTTGCTGTAGATGGAGGAATGGAGCAAAGAGCAGCCTGGCAAAAGCAAGTAAAATACCTGCGTTTTCGTTTACCCTGAGGACAGGTCTTACCTTCACACCTTCAAAGGCCGGATCTTATCAGCTAATAGTTTTCCAAGGCGCAGGGTGGCTCTGGACGGTTTTCCCCCAGGAAACCATCCCTGCCTTGCTGGGGACAATGCTTGTGGTCTGGATGTAGGACATTATTCCTTTAGCTTGTAGGTCTGATCTAGCCCTCAGTCTCCTCACCCAGGAAGAGAACCCACAAAGTTTCTGAGTTTGCACCTGGCTCCTTAAAAACAGCCCCGCAGCAACAAGAGACCACCACCACCGGTTCTGTCTCCCCTCGGTGAGATCCAGACCAGCCGCGGGTCTGCGCTTTGCCTCCTCATTCTACTCCCTGATTTGAATGTGCTTATTTCCTGCCCCAAAACTGGAAGGTCTTGAAAGTCGATGCCAAACCCTGACTTAAATTGTACTAGTAATTATTATTGCACTAGTAATAATGATGATAAGAACATTTGTGGCTGTTCTTTGTTGAGCACTTATGTGTGCCAGGCTAAGTGAAGCGTGTCTGTTGTCCCGTTCCGTCTGCCCTCTTTGTCCCTGTGGGGCGAGGTTTAGTTCATTCCCTGGTACAGATAGTGGTGGAGCTGAGGCTCAGAGGGATTGAGATCCCAGTGCTGGAAGGTGGCAGAGTTGGGATTTCAACCCGGCTCTGTCTGACTCATGTATCGAGTGACTGCAGTTGATTGAAACTCATGTTTAAAAACCACAAATGAACAAACAGACACCTGGTTGGTAACCACAGCAGGTTGCTAGGGCGCTGACTCATTACTCTAACACTTTGATAAATAAAAGAATCATGTATTCCTCTGTTTTTCCTATACAAAGCACATTTCAGAGAGACCAAGTAGTTGACGGAAAGTTGTTTATGTAGAAAAATTCCAGCTAATAAACGCAAAAGGAATGACAGATTTAGAAAATTGCCACTTTGAAACCGTTGATGAAATGCTGGATCTCAGCAGCAGTCGCCAGGGGAAGTGAACTCTGCTCAGAGGACAGCTGCTGGGAGCTTTACCACCAGGGCACCAGGCGGCAACCCCGGAAGCCAAGGTAGCAGAACTGGATGACATGTCTCGTGATGGGTTGGCACAGGACGGACCACCTGTGATATGGTTTTGCCTAAGAAATTCTAACCCAAATCTTACCGAGCTGTAGCCGTAACTGCCAGTTTACAGGGGAACACCTCAGTTCCTCCGACTTTTCAGTGCCCTGAACACAAAGGAGGGTGGAGAGGGTGTTACAGAAGGAAAGGGGCATAAGAGACCTAACCACCGAATTCAGACAAACCAAGATAATGGAGCAAACTTGAATATAGACCATTTACTGGATGCTATTAAGGTGTCATCGTTCCTTTCGTTAGGAATGATAATGGCATGGTGGTTGTGTTAAAAAAAAAAGTTGTCTGCCATGGATGCCTGCTGAGCTGCCGATGGGGGGCAGGACACAGGGTTCGAGGTTTATTTTGCATTGTCCAGCCAGGCTACGGGCCGGGGGCGGGCAGCCTGTCCCTTTTCGGCGGTGTTGAAACTAGGTGACGGGAACGTGTGGGCTCATGCACACTGCGAGGAGTGTGTGAAAGTGTCTACCGTGAAAAGGAAAAAGGAAAAGAGTCCGTGTGGTAAAACGTGTTGATACTCTGGGTGTCCACGTGCGTGTGTCTGGAGCCTGGAGCAGGGGGCAAGCTCTGGTTGTGGCTTTGGGAAGCCGGCACGATGGGTTTTTCCAGGCAGCCTCTCCTTGCGGAGGTGAGGCCCTGGGACCCCTTCCTTCTCAGCAGGGACTGTCTGTGGTCAGGTCCTGCAGTCACGGCCCGTCCACTGGGGGCCTGCGGGGGGCAGGAAGGGGACAGCCTACCCGCTCTGTTGGGCACTTGGACAACCAGTCACTTCCACAGCCAGACAGGGAATGTGATGGGAGACATGATGCTCCGATTAGAGACTCATGCCTTTTCTTGTTGTTGTTTCCTTCAGAGGAAGTAGCTTTTAGAAAGAAGAGGCTGTGCATTAAATTTATCCCACGGGATTCCACGGAAGCTGCAATCTGTGACATTCGGATCATGGGCCGGACCAAGCAGGCCCCTCCTCAGTACACGTTTATTGGGTGAGTCTCACTACCACAGATTTCATCTCCTCGCTCTGCCAAGAGTGCTCAGGCCCTTCCCGAGGACCGAGCACTGAGACTTCGTCACCCACGAGGCTTGCCTCTGCCCTCGCTGCTGCCCCTCCTGCGTGCGCTGCAGCCAGTCCCAGCCGCCATGCTGTCGGCCCCTCCCCACGTTTGTCCGTGCCACTTGCTGCATCCAAGGGGCTTTCCACCCTGTGTCCTGCGTGTTTATCCTCGCGGCTCTGTGGGTCTTTCCAGACGCCCAACGGCCCAGGAGTTCTCTCTTTGTGACCGCTGGGCCTCAGCTCTCCGCACTGCTTATTCACCCACCAAGTCTGTGAGACACCCTTTGTTCCACAGGCCAAAGCCCCTGGACAGGTGGTGACTGAGGCCATTGAAGAGCCCACTCTCCCAGAGTCTATGTTCGAACAGGAGAGAGGAGCAACGAACAGAATTAATAGTGAGATCATTGTGGCGAGTGATGAAAATGAAACACAACAACCAACAGGGGCTCCTTCCGCTAGGGGTCGGGAGCGGGGACGAGGTTGGAGCAGGGCCCTCAAGCTCAAGAAGCAACCCACCCTGCCGAGAGTTGAAGGCAGAGCCTTCGGGAACAGGGGTCCCGTGGGAACGGGCGTGGCATGTCTGGGGAGCAGCGGGGCTGGGGTGGGTGCGTGAGCAGGAGGTGCCTGGATGAGGGCGGCAGCTGGCAGGGCCTCAGAGGATGTGGCGGCCGTGTGCATTTCATTCCAGTGCACCGGGATGCCATTGAAGGGTCTGCGTTGGGGAAAACATGATGTTAGTACCTGACCACGTGGCAACTCCTTGTGCAGATTTTTGGTCTGATGTTTATCCTCCCTGGTGAGCAGAGGGCTGGGCCCACTGTGTCATGTTCACCCAGTAGCCTCAGTACCAGGTGAACTGAAGCCACATGATAAATACAAAGTACATCATAAATACAAATTACAAGGAATCTCAGGGTTTCACTTTGGGCCCTTTTGATTGTGAGTGACAGGAAACCCAACCCAGTCTCGTTTGAGCAAAAGGAAGAATTTTTTGGCTGAGGTCACAGCAGAGGTCAAGGGGTGAGGCTGGCTTCCGGTGCAGCTGGGAGGAGGCACTGAGAGGACGTCACTAGGATCTGGTTTCCCCCTCTCCTCATTGCTGATTCTGGGGCGGGGGGACCCCATTCCTAGACACGTTCTCCCCAGGGGAGGAATGGTGCAACAAGAAACCACCACCACCGGTTCTGTCTCCATCAGTTCACCTACTTTTCCTCCAGGTTCAAGTCCCGAGGCAAAGAGCAAGTCTGCTCTCCATAATTCAGACAGGAGCTCTAGAGTTCAGTCTCATGGGTCTTGATTGACCTCACTGGGGTGCTGTGCACCCTGCACCCGTCACTGCTATCAGGGAGGTGTCCTTCTCTTTTCCAGGCCTGAGCCATTGATTGGAACTCGGGCACCAAGAATGAGGGGCGGCTGCCCCCAAGATACAGAAGGGATGTGAAAAGTCAGGGTGGGGGGAGTCAATGGGTGCTGGGTGGCCAAAAGATAACATACGTCCTTTACACCCACTCAGCCAAAATCCAGGTCTTCCCAGCGAGTACGTTTGTGTGGGGGTGTGGTTTTTGGCCCTGCAGCCACGTGCCTCTCTCCCTGGCTGGTGCTGCAGGCACCTCGCTCGTCCCTGTGGGTCCCCACGGATGAGTTCTCCCGCTTGGCTTTTGAGGGTGGCCTTGTGGATCTGGTTTGTGTTCTCTTTTGCTCCTTGTTTACGTTAATCCAGACCCTCCTTTGGACTCTGAAAGCCAGGGCCTGTTCCCATAGGCCTCACACGGGCTCGGTGATCGACGAGCTGTGGTGGTCGCTGCCCGTGTGTGGGGAGCCCATGTTACAGAAAGAGAGACCGTTTCCATCTTGGTGCAGAGTTTGTGTAGACTCTGCAGCTCTGTCTCAAGATCTCATGTCCTTAAGAAGAACTCCACGATCATTCCCTTGCTACATGCTCAAAATCCTGTTTTGCAACATGATTTAAATTGATTATGTAAACTGGAGTAGCAAATGGTTAAGAGAATAACCTTAGAAGCAGTCATTTACATACAAATAGAAGCCAACAATTTAATGATTAACTTTTAAAGTTTAATTTTAGTTTAATATGTGCATTTTTAATTGCAAACTGTACTGCTTTAGAAGATTCCATTTTTAACCAATTTTAAAAATTCTAAATAGATCCTTACCATATATTTATGTCTTAATAATCAAAACTAGCATCTTCTTCCTTTGCTATCATTTTGAAAGGATTGCTAAATAAAGTATATTTTTGTTTCATCTTGGGACAAACCTTTTCTAGAGGCAATTTCAATGTTATTTTAAAGTAAGGAAAGAGAATTCACAGTTTCTTAACTAAGTCACAGTTTCTTAAAAACGGGCACAGTTCCATTTTACTTTGCAAGGATGGGTGGTCGGCCGGGGGAGAAAGAAACCTCAGAGGGGGCGCGGCCCCGCCGTGGCCCGACGCTGGAGCCCCGACTGCACGGCAGTGGGGTCAGCGCAGCCGATGGGAGTCAGCCGCCCATCTAGTGAGACGGGGTTGTGGTTTAGAGTCGTTCCTGTAGTGTGCTGAGAGGCTACTAGAAGTATCCACAGGAGTACATCTGTTCTCATTTTTTTAAGAGGTGATATTCCTATATATCCCAAGGTGCAGCTCTATGGGGCAGTTGAGAAGCTGTAAGTTGGATGTGGCTGAAATAATCTCATTATAGTTCGTAAGAACAAGCCCATCTCACAAATGCTTGTGACCGCAGCGTGCGGCCAGCTGTGCTGCGCAGGCACGTCAAGTCCTGGTCCCTTTTGAGTCTGGTCTTAGGGGGCACTTGCTTCATGGTTTGAAGGTGTCTCTCAAGCCGACCTGAGAACGAGGCCGACTGCAGGTGACAGGCTGGTAGTAAGGAGCGTCATCCTGAAGCTGGGGCGTATCTAGGAGGCAGGGGGTGCTAACTCTCCTCGTAGTTAAAAAGCATCGCTCTCTGTCTCACCCAAACCATACAAGGGACCTGACGTGGATTGTCATGTAAACACCTACAATTAAAGGACAAAATAAGAAAAAATTTTCAAGACTGAGAACCAAGGGAAATGCAGTAGTATGTAGTAGGGAGGCCAGCCCTGGGTGGTGACGAATTGGGCCACATCGTAGTCATAAAGGCCTGCCTTGTTGGGACAGCCACCCTGCCATTCGGCTCTGAACTGTGACCCCCCAGAGCACAAAGAGAGGTGATGTCACCTATCTGTGGACAAGAATCGATCCCCTGGTGTCTGAGGCTATGACTCTTAAAGGAGTTAGTTGACCCTGCCGCTTGGGTAACTGCTTTATGCTGAACAGAGCCATGAAGATTTCTCTTTTCTCCTAAAGGGAGCTGAACAGCATGGGGATCTGGTACCGAATGGGCAGAGTACCAAGAAATCATGACTCATCTCAACCCACAACACCTTCCCAGTCGTCAGCTGCGTCCACCCCAGCCCCCAGCCTTCCCAGGTGAGGCCTTGTCCCGCGGCATCTTGTGCTGCTGTGCATGTTACAGTCACGTGGTTTTGGGTCCCATGACAACGTTTTAGAACACCTCCATGCAGTGTCTGCTGAAATAGTGCAGAAGCGACGCGCCTCTGGAGGAGATTTTTACAAACCCAATCAGAAGCCTTTGCGTTACCTGAATGTAAAGGCCATTCAGTATTCTATTCTGCACATGTTTGGAAGGCTCCAAAAATAGCGGATATGCAGCTTTAAATTGGCTTGCTGTTCTAAAGAGCTCAGAGCCGCACGCAGGCAGGCTCTGCAGCCACGTGGTGGGGAACGCTGGCCGGAGAAGGTGCCATTCCTTCTCTTCCTTGGCCAGCAACCCATTTGAAATCCAGGAGGATTGGTAAGTAATTATGTTCATTTTTATATTGTTTCTTTTCCCAATGAGCTTCAACTAAGAAATGAGTAGTTTGGGTATGAGAGAATGCTGAGAGGTTTTTCAGGAGATGTTAGTTTTTGCTTTTGTTTTAAAGATTTTATTTATTTATTCTTAGAGGAGAAGGGAGGGGGAGAGAGAGGGAGAGAAACATCGATCAGTTACGTCTTGCGCATCCCCAACCAGGGACCTGGCCCTCAACCCAGGCATGTGCCCTGACTGGGAATTGAACCAGTGACCTTTCACTTTGTGGGACAATGTTCAAGCATCTGAGCCACGCCCATCAGGGCTCAAGGGGGTGTTGATTTTAACCATTGCTTCCACAAAGAAACTTGGGACTGCAAACTGGTCTCTGCAACTGATTTCAGTCATAATAGAGGTAGAAATGGTCTCCACACTTTCTGCAAGAAGCAGGTGGTAAAAAGAATCCCGTCAACTAAAAAAAATTCAACATCACTAGTAGTAAGTTGAGGACAAGGAACAAACAGCAGTGATGGATTAAGTTTGAGAAAGGAATTACAAAAGTAAATAAAACAAGAAAGAATTGGTGAGGCAGCATCATTTGGGGATTAATACAACATAGATGAGAATGGACCTAGAAGCTTCCACATGGGTGACTAGAGATGAACACAGTCTGTCAGGAACAGGACAAAATAGTCACCGGCGAGGTCCCCCTCCTGGTCTCCGCACCCCACGCATTACCCTCTGGGAGGTGCAGAGGGTGGCATGGCTGCCGGGAGGTGGTCCGCACTGTTTTCTGAGCATCCACCTCCTTCGGAGGAAGGCGCCACATGAGCCAGCAGCTGAGACAGCTCGCGACTCGGGACATCCCCCGCAAAGACTATCTGGGCTTTCTCCTGGCAGTCTCACAAACCCAGAGTGGTACTTAAACTTAACTACGCCTGGAATCGCCTGAAACTTTAGAAGCAGGTTTATGGTTCACTGTGATAGGAAAAGATACAAACAGCTAATAAGCTCCCAGAGTTGCAGGGGGAGCAGCTGAGTGTGTCTGCTTGGTTTAGGCTTGTTGGTTCTTTCTCACGACCCAGAGCCGTCACCGCTGGGATTACTGTCACGTGCGCTTGGGGTCAGCTCAGGCCCATCGCCTGCGCTCAGGGTCATCTTAGACTCATCCCTGAAGTTGTTACAGCTGCTCCCTGTGGCCATTCTATGGCTTGGAAGGGCCTAGAAATGGGCACAGCCTCCGGGCAGGCTTTACCTCTCTGTCGGTGAAGAAAGAGCACTGATTCCCCCAGTTAAAGCAGGAGACCTGGTTCCTCAGAAGCGTGCGGGCCGGTGGCCCAGCACAGCCACGAGCCGCTGAAGCGAAAGGGCCCAAGAACGCAGGCCGCGGGGCTCCGGGCGGAACTGGAGGTAGTGTTTATAAGGCTTATATATTTTATAACCTCTTGTTGTACAGTTTATGGTTTACAATGGTTGCAAGGAAATTGGATCAGTTTTGTTTTACTTGCCAAATAAAACAAATGTCAAAATAGTCAATATAAAATGTATTCTAATTTGGTTGAGTTAAGTCAGCCAGTATGCAGTAGGATAATTGAATGTTACATTAATGCTTCCCAGTAAAAACCACTTGTCTGTCCCAAGCTCTTCCCTCCCACTGTGCGGTGATTTACCGGGAGTGTGCACACCTATGGGAGCCTCCTAATTCATCCGGGTTTTTGTGCCTTTGGTTTTTATATTGTTTTCTTATCCAGTATCTTTGATTTTAAAAAAAGAAAAAATGAAATGCTGACTATTCCAATTTTCCATTGAAGATTTATGAAACGAAGAGTATGTTACTTTATTCCTTGGGGCTTCAGGTCTCTGTAATCTTGCCAGCTGAGGGACCTGGCCGCTTTCCCTCCGGCGGTGAGACAGCCGGTCCTTGTATTCCCAGTCGTGGCTGTACAAGCCCTGCGGTGGCCCTGTAGAGTGAGGGCCCCGTGACGCCTGCTCTGCTCTCCCATCCCCGAGCCTCAGACTGCCAGCTGAACTGGTAGCTTCTCCTCCCAGTCCTGTTTCTTGCTTCTGTGTCTTTGCTCGTGTGGACACCTGTGCATCAGCTGTCTCACATCCCTGCCTCAGATGTCAGCGCAAATGCCTCCTCGTGCAGAAAGCCTTCCCTGAACACCATGGGGCTGGGCCTGTGCCTGGGCTCTCTTTTCTGGGCCCCTCTCTGCTGTTATGCCTTCACTTCGTGTTGCGGTCATGCTGTGACCTTCCTGAGGATGTGGACCGTGTCCTGTTATTTCCCAGCGCTCAGCTCAGATCCAGGAATGTATTCAGTTTTGAAAAAATGCTTCTCCAACAGCCTAGGACCCCCTGCTGCTCCCCTACCCGCCACCCCACCCCGCCGCACCTCCCCATGACTCCCAAGCTACTGAGCAATCCTGGGGATTTTTCTGATTATGAGAGTAATACAGACTTGCAGAAAATTGACAGAGAATAGAAAGCAATGAACACACAGAAATCCCATTTCCAGTGAGCTGAGGTGTATAACCTTGGATATATTTCCTTCAAGTCATTTTTCTGTGTACCTTTACATAGGTGATATCATGTAACAGCAAGTTTGTGTTTCGCGGCTTCTTTCTCCTGTGGTATTGAACCACAAGCCTAAGAAATACTTCAAGTGTGGTCTTTGTGTGGACACAAGGATCAGGTTGCAAAGCCACGGCTAGAGTGAGAGTGTGGTGATGCAGCACCCTCTACTGACCAAACGGGGGGCGGCAGCGGGGAGGACGGGCAGGCTGGCTCCTGGGCCAAGGGCAGCAGACCGTTCTCCTAGCAAATCCCTTGTGGGGCCTGCAAGAGAACAAGGGGGCAGGGAGCAGCCCTCACTGCTGGCTTGGGCTTGAGCCTTTGTCTCCGAAGCTAAAATTGTGTGCTCTGCCTCCGTTTCCTATGTTGTCACTCACATTGCACAGAATTCCCTGCCAGTTTTTGGAGAGCTCTGATACGCAGCTCCACTCGGAGGAAAGGGGCAGTTGGTGGGCCCTTCAGGGATACTGGGCCATCACCTGAGGACTCCTGGTCTCAGCAGAACTGCGTTCTCTTTCCAGACAAGCGCTTCCTGCCCGTGCCCTTTCTGTCACTGCGGAGCGTGCCGGCTGTGGGCCAGAGGCCAAGGCGTCCTTTCACAGTGGGGAGGCCCCCGAGGCCGGGGCGCCCCCCCCATCCCCGGCTGTGTCTGGTGAATTGGATGCAGTGTTTAGTGGCGTTTGTGGCAAAAGTCAGAAAGAGATGTCTCTTTAGACATCTAATTAGATTTAGGCTAGAGCTCCCCTTCCTCACTCAGCGAATCTTTACCTCGCTCACAGGCATCTCTGCACACATATCTGAGTTTCCAGGTGAGGAAGGTTATGCCGCCTCCTCCGGGAGCTTGGAGCCTCTGTTTTCTCTCCAGGGCCAGCGCTGCTCTGCCCTCTGCCCGTCCACTGCGTGCAGGCTGGTCAGCAGGATGGCGCTGGCCTCGGAGCTGCAGTGCCGTTCCCTCCCCTTCTCTCTTCTGGGCTGGCCTCAGCTTTTCTTTCCTTAAAAAAAATTTTTTTTCTTTTTTTTTTTTAATCATTACCTGAGGACATTTTTTCATTGCTTTTAGAGAGAGAGGAAGGGAGAGAGAGAAACATCGATGCGAGGGAGAAGCATCGATTGGTTGCCTCCCATACAGGGGATGGAAGCCGTGCAGGACGACACTCCAACCAACTGAGCCGCACCGGCCAGGGCTGGTGCGGCCTGTTCTGACCCTCTTCTGCGCTGCTGTCTTGGGTCAGGGTGGAGGCAGAGGGAGCACTCCCAGCGTCAGTCAGATCAGCCCTTCACTCCTGGCTCACACACCGGCGCTCACAGATGATTCTGCCGGGAAGAAAAGGTCCCCTCGCTGCCTGCATCAAGGTTTGGAAAAGCTGTGGGAGGCAGGTGGATTCACAAGGGACAGAGCACCAGCAGCCGTGTGGATGAATGGGTGGCCCGCATCGTCCCGGTAGGGGCCCCTCGGGGGACGTAGTGTGAAGAAGACGCTGCCCCCGGCCTGCTCCGCGGTAGAACCGGTGGCTTGATAGAGACGTCAGAAGCATGCTTATCAAATTTGCAGATGACGCAGAGTCATTAGGGAGAGCTAGAGCTCTGAGTGACAGAATTGATCCTCCACGGCTCCTCTACGGCTAGAACGCCCTGCTGGAACCGGGAGACGAGAGGTGCTGGGCGGAAATGGACAGGGCCTCCTGAGGTTCCGACAACCAGTTGCATAAGAGCCAAATTGAGGAGACCTGATTTATCATTGATTTGTGTGAAATGACTGGGCATGAGCGTGAGTTGTGTGGAATGTAGCCTGGTGTGCACAGCGGGGCACATCCCCTTAGATGGTGTCCCATGCCTGTTGGCTATACTGAGGGGCTTGCGTCTACTGCCACGCACCACCTTGTAAACGTTGTCCAACTCCAGCAGTGCATTTGAGTGTGAGGAGTCACTGGGTTTAGACCCAGGTAGGGACACAGCAGCTGGTGTCAGGTGTTTAAATGGCCAATATGTGGGAGGTTTAAATATATAGGAGATTTAAATGGTGTTTCCAGGTGGGGATGGGTCT